TGTTATATAAAAGCAATAGACCACAAGCGTTTATGGTTTATAGGCTGATAAACCACTTGGGATGTTGGAAGAACACAAGAGAATTCGTAAATCACTCGCGGCCTGCGGCTCGTGATTTACGAATTCTTCGAGTGTTCGTCCGCGTAGTTTATCAGCCTATAAACCATAAAAACTTGTGGTCTGTTGCTTAATTATAGGGTACAATTACTGGTGTCCTAGAAGTTTATATTGCGACCCTTAAATAAAAAAACAAATATTGGAAATAGACAGAAACTCAGAAACTTGTTAAGAATCCTAACGTTTGGGAGGTAGACCAGTTAGCTACCGTAAACTTCCAAAAGTCACGACCCTCGTTCCTTCCGGAATTAGCCGCCTTTGGGGTTCGTTGCTTTCGGGGGGCCGTTACTTTCCAGAGATCATTATTTTCGGGGAGCAAACAACGTTATATAAAGTTGGTACGAAAGAGCGCTTTTTTGTGAAATGAAAGACGAGAATTCGTAAAAACAGTTCTTAAAACATGAGATACAATTCTTCGTTCCAGTCAACTAGAAAATGCATGTTGCTGCCATATGGGTGGGTTTGTCATGTCTATACCATGTTGTCAGTAGTTGGCAGGAAACCTTATCAGATACCTCCGAAATCTGTTTGGCACTGGTCATGTTTTCAATTTAAATTTGAGGAAACGTTCCTTATATGCTTCAGTTGAAGAGTGCCTTAAATCAAGCTACGGTACCCAACTTTCACTCGGCTACTGATTGGAAAAATCAGTGTATACTATTAAACATTGGTTTCACTATTTTCGGGGAAGGAGGATTAGGGTGGACTCGCTTATTTCGGAGGGGGCGCTACTATACTCTAGGAAGGTCGCTACCTTCGGGATTTATTAGTGGCCAAAACGTTTTGACGTTACTTTCGGGGGGGTCGTTACTTTCGGAAGTTTATGGCATGCAAAAAGCATGGAGCAGTGCAAGTTGAATTTGGGAAAATCAAACATAATTCTATCTAGAGACAGGGAGGAAGATTTGGTTACCAATGTGCCACACTGGTTACCAATGTGCCATTAACTAGTTATTCCCAGTGTTAATACATAGAGGATATTACACGATGGCGAGAAGATATGAATTTTCTGTTCGAGTGGCAAGAAAAATATCTCACGAGTGACTGAGTGCGGCGAACGAGTGAGATGTTCTTCTTGCCAGGAGAACATAAAATTCATATCTTTGTGCTAACGTGTAACGTTCTTTTTATTATATAGACATACTGATGACGACGATTTGACGATTTTCCGAAGATTTTCGACCACTTTTCGAAGATTTGCGAGTATTGTCCAAAACTTGTCCGAAGGTCACATGAACGTTGCTGAACATTTCCCGAACATTCCCAAAGATTACTGAAGATTTCTGAAGATTACCGAAGATTGCCGAAGACTTTGAGGAAGATCCGAAGATGTATCGATGATACACCAACGAATTTAAATACAATTTAAGAGTCAAATTTGATATCAGTGAAATCATCGATATCTTCACCAGTGAGGATATGGAAAATACGCCACTCGAGTCCCGGATGTGTTTCGTATGAATTTTACGAGTGGTGTATTTTCAAGTAAAATACTGCCTCTTTATAATACAACAAAGTATGGCCTTCACTCATTTCGCTATTATGCTAGCAAACTATGGAACTCATCGCCGGATAGTGTTCGTGTATTTACATCTCTTGCTGCTTTCAACTTAATATCTGGACAAGGAATGCTGTTCATTTTGTGATTAATACTAGTCTTTAACGTGGCTGGTTAATTTCTCATGGATATGTTGTATCTTTTTATTTGTTTTTCTCAGCCTATTTCTAAAATCATTTGTTAACCATTTTAATGAGGTTATCTATTATATGTAACTTCTGGTTTAAATTTTATGAATTTATTTTCTTCCAAGATGTTAGCATATTTTGCTATCAAAAAATTCGAAGTAAAATAAAGTTTTTGACCTGATTGATTGATTGTTTGCTAGCTGATGGTCTGAAAACTACTGGCAAAAATCTGTCAGATTACACATAGTAGTAAAGAGGGAGATTTGAACAGGGTTTGTGTGTG